CGCCTAAGGCATCCTCGCCACTCCGGGCTCAGCGATCCCCTGACCTGAGGTGGTCGGGCCAGTCTCACGTGAGACATCCTCGCAACTCCGGGCTCAGAGATTCCCTGACCTGAGGTTGTCGGGCCAGTCTCGAGTGAGACATCCTCGCAACCCCGGGCCCAGAGATCCCCTGACCTGAGGTGGTCGGGCCAGTCTCGCCTGAGACATCCTCCCATCTTTTGGCTCGGAGATGCCCCGCGCGAGGTGGTCCGTTTCCTCGCTCATTTCTCTACTCTCTCTCTTTCTTTCTATCTCTCTCTCTCTCACTCTCTCTCTCTCACTCTCTCTCTACTCTCTCCTTTCCCTTCAATTTAGTTATCCTCGTTCCTTGTCGTCGTCGTTGTCGTAGCGTCCGCTTTTCTTCCGAACACATTTTTGCTCGAGATCTTCACGTCGATACATCGATTTTCAATTCCATTCCACTTCTTACATATCTAATGGCCTTCGGCTCATCCCGCCACCGTGCCTAGGCTGTGGGGGCCCCGTGGTGGCCTCTTGGGTGCCTCTGGGGGCTTCCCAGGGGCTTCTCGGGGCCGAGGGCTCGAATTGTCCGTTCGGATTCCCCGTTGGGGCGTCCTCTGGGATCCGTCTTCGGCCTCTCTTGGGCCGTCTTGGTGGCCTCTTGGGCCGTCTTGGTGCCCTCTTGGGCCGTTTTGGAATCTCTTGGAGATCTCTTGGGGCGACAGATTGGGTTCGGGACCCGAGTATACGCCCATTCCGTGCAATGGCACGGTGGCAGATTCTGGCGTGCCTACCGCCGTAGGCCCTTCCAGCTGCGAGGGTGCATTCGGCAATCGCCTACGGCAACCAATCGCCTACGGCAACCCCCGCCGTTGCGTACAAGGAGGGGGGGAGGAGGCACGCGCCAGGAGGACGCAAGGGTAACGTCAGGAAAGGGAGGCAGCGAGTGGAGAAAACGAGATTCAAGTTGGAGCAGTGAGCAAGTGGATGGCCAGGACAGGAGAGTGAGGAAGTGGAAAGAGGAGGAGGAGGAGGAGGAGGAGGAGGAGGAGGAGGAGGAGAAGGAGGAGGAAGAGGATGAAGATGAGGGAGAGGGGGAGGAGGAGGAGGAGGAGGGGGAGGAGGAGGAAGAGGAGGAGGAACAGGAGGGGGGTGATTTTTGCACCACGCCCGACTGGCCTACCAGGGGCCTAGTTCTCGGATTGCTACAATCCGCAACCGTGCTGCTTGACGTGGGCGGTGGTGCCGTGACAGCGCCGAGCAGCAGCGACGTCGCGGCTTGGCTGACGTCCGGTGATGGGGCCAGCGCTGGACCCCTCCGTGACGACTACCTGAAGGTAGTGGCGGGCCTTGGGCAAAGGCCATTCGATTGCCTGCGGCAATTCCAAGCCTTGTGCCAGCGTAGCGGGAGCTCTCGTTCAGTAAGCTGCCCTGCCAGACAACCCCAACGGCTCCCGACATGCCCGGCCATGAAAACAAACATGGTGACGGATTGCGCCGTATGTCCACATCGTATGGCGTGTCACGGAGAGACGAAACTGGAAGCGAGCGCTCGACGCTGAGCTTGGCGCTCGCCCTGACAACGGCGATTCTGGAGCGCGCCGTCGACCAGTACCAGGATTTCCTTTCGAAGACTCATGCATCCACAGCAGAGAGGTATCCATTTCTCGGCTGGCTCTGCAGTCCACGCCTGGGCGGGAAGACCACTGGCAAATCTGATGCGCAGCGGTGCCGGGAGCTCGACCTCAGTTGCGCCGCGTGTCGGGCTCTCGCTGCGTTCGAACACCCGGGCCAAACCACGCACAAGAACGACCAGACATGCATTTACGGCGTGGCGTTGTCGGAGGACGCGATGCGAAACGCCATCAATACAGCTAGAAAGAAGAGGCCCGCGTGGGTTGATACCCAGATGCCAGACGCACTCAATTACGACCCCTACAGCACCGCCCAGCACTCTGCCACATCCAATATTTTCACACCGCAGGATCGCATGGCCCACAGTCCCGGGTCGCTGTCGACGAGCTTAGGCCACGACGCATGGTTCAAGAGGAGCTGCTTCGCGGAGCGGGTTCAGACCATGGTGAATTTCGGGCAGCGGCGGGACGCGATGATGCAATTGCGCGGGGTGGAGAAGTCATTGGTGTGTTCTGACCTGGCTTGCTTGGTGCGCGTGAATCCCCGGTCCCGCCTCGATGCCAAGGCGACCGTGCAGGCGTATGAGCATTACGAGAAGCACTTGCGCCGACGCGCAGGCACCCTCGGTCTCGGCTCCACGGACTTGCTACTGGAATTTCTCCTCAACGTGGTGCTGATGCGGAACACGCTGGGCGATGCGGTGCGGGCGGCGCTCGCCGAAAAGTCGTGGGTATGGCTGGAGGTCGCAGACGGCCGCTGGGTTAACCCGGGGGTTCTCCACGATTTCGCTCACGCCACTGGCTGCAAAGGTTTATTCGGTGATTATGTGAACCCCATGCGCACCCGCGGTGAGCGCACCGTGCATGGATTCGCCGATTTGCTGGCGGACTTGCATGCGTTCCAAGCCGTCGGCGTCGATCTTGTCTCGGCTTTCGCCAAGGATTTGGACGTGCCAAAATTTTTCGAGGGTCTCCAGTCGGTCCGGGGATACAGCGGCAGTGGGTTCAGAGCCAAAGAATTATTGTGCGACTTCGTGGATTGCCTGTCCCACGCCTTGGGCGGTGACCTGAGCGGGGTGCAAGAGCAGTATAAATTGGTCACTGTAATCGGAGTTGGGCCTTGCAGGGCGGCAAATTATCTCTTCGGGCTCCCTTTCATGCTGCACGAAGGGACGCCGCCGAGGCAGAAGAACATCCATTATGCAGGGGGCTTTCGCCGTCGCCGCCTTGCCCTCGATCGCGCTCGGTCGCTTGCCGACAGGCGGCGCGCGCGCGGGGTAGCGAGCTCCGCAGCGACCGGCGCGCGGCGGAGAGGAATGCTGTCGTCTTCAATACCGCCGCCTGTCTACCTACGGCGTGCTGGGAGCGGTGCGGTCCTCTGGTCCTCCTCTCCCCCCAACATAGTTCGCACCGCGTCTTCGGCGGGGCGGCTCCTCGTGCCTGACACCTCCACGCAGGTCGGCGGATCTGCCAATGCTTCGGTATATCATCGAGTGGCTGCGGGACCACCACGGCGATTTCTACAAGAGCCGGAGTAACTTGGACATCCTGTACGAATTATGTGAATACCAGAAGATACTCCGATTTTGGTACTTGGGCATCGGCACCACCTATGTTCCAGCAAAAGGTTTGCCGGTGTCGGATTATGTGTCGGAGTTGCCGCTGACGTATGCAGAGTTGGTGGCATTCTGCAATGCTTCTATCAGGCTCGGGCCATCGGGCCCAGAGTTTGTGCCAGAAGACTGAAGCGGAAAACGCCGCATTCTAGCGGGGTGGGCCAGGCTGAGGAGCAAAGGGGAGGGGGAGGAAACGGAGGACGGCGGAGGCGACGGAGAAGGGCGCGGGGGAAAGAGGACGATCGGGGGGCAAGGGCGGGGGGAGGGGGGAGAGAGGGTAAGGTTGCGGAAGAATGCGGAGGAGGATGAGGATGAGGAGGAGAATAGGGAACGGGGAGGGGCGGGGGAGGGGATGGGGGAGGAGGAGGAGCAGGAGGAGGAGGAGCAGGAGGAGGAGGAGAGGAGGAGGAGGGGGCTGACGACAGGTGCCGCCGACCCCGAAGAGGGACGACGACGGCGGCGGCGCCGCCGGCGACGGCGAATGCGCACGTATTCCAGAGCCCTCAAGGTGCGCGAAAGTATGCGAATTCTTCACGCTTCGCGTATCCCCACCAGCCCATCCCCAAACAGCAACTCCAGCGAAGCATGCCGACAGTCGTGTTTTTCAGGCGTATAGTAGTAGTAGTACTAGTAGTACTAGTAGTAGTAGTAGTAGTAGTAGTAGTAGTAGTAGTAGTAGTAGTAGTAGTAGTAGTAGTAGTAGTAGTAGTAGTAGTAGTAGTAGTAGTAGTAGTAGTAGTAGTAGTAGTAGTAGTAGTAGTAGTAGTAGTAGTAGTAGTAGTAGTAGTAGCAGTAGTAGTAGTAGTAGTAGTAGTAGTAGTAGTAGTAGTAGTAGTAGTAGTAGTAGTAGTAGTAGTAGTAGTAGTAGTAGTAGTAGTAGCAGTAGTAGTGGTGGTAGCCTTAGTAGTAGTAGTGGTAGTAGTCGTGGTAGTAGCAGTAATAGGACTAGTAGTAATAGTAGAAGTAGTAGTCTTAGTACAAGTAGCAGCAGTAGTAGTAGTCCCAGTAGTAATAGTAACAGTAGTACTAGTAGCAGTGGTAGTGGTAGTAATAGTAGTAGTAGCAGTAGTAGTAGTAGTAGTAGTAGTAGTAGTAGTAGTAGTAGTAGTAGTAGTAGTAGTAGTAGTAGTAGTAGTAGTAGTAGTAGTAGTAGTAGTAGTAGTAGTAGTAGTAGTAGTAGTAGTAGTAGTAGTAGTAGTAGTAGTAGTAGTAGTAGTAGTAGTAGTAGTAGTAGTAGTAGTAGTAGTAGTAGTAGTAGTAGTAGTAGTAGTACGTAGTAGTAGTAGTAGTAGTAGTAGTAGTAGTAGTCGTAGTAGTCGTAGTAGTAGTAGTAGTAGTAGTAGTAGTAGTAGTAGTAGTAGTAGTAGTAGTACTAGTACTAGTAGCAGTAGTAGTAATAGCACTACCAATAGCAGTGGCACTAGCAGTAGCAGTAGCAATAGCAGTAGCCGTCGTAGTAGAATTCGTAGTGGTAGTAGTAGTAGTAGCAGAAGTAGCAGTAGTGGTCGCAGTTGCGCCCGACAACCTCAGGTCAGGGAATCTCTGAGCCCGGAGTTGCGAGGATGTCTCACGTGAGACTGGCCCGACCACCTCAGGTCAGGGGATCGCTGAGCCCGGAGTGGCGAGGATGTCTTAGGCGGAACTGGCCCGACCACCTCAGGTCAGGGGACCTCTGAGCGCGGAGTTGCGAGGATGTCTCACGCGACACTGGCCCGACCACCTCAGGTCAGGGGATCTCTGAGCCTGGACTTGCGAGAAGGTCTCAGACGGAATTGGATGGACCACCTCGTGCGGGGCATCTCCGAACCCAAAGACAGGAAGATGTCGCAGGCGAGACTGGCCCGACCACCTCGGGTCAGGAGACCTCTGAGCCCGGAGCTGCGAGGATGTCTCAAGGGGAACTGGACGGCAGCCGATCAGTCGATCAGCGGTCGACCAGCCGATCAGCCGATCAGCCGATCAGCGATCGACCAGCCGATCAGCCGATCAGCCGATCAGGCGCCGACCAGCCGATCAGCCGATCAGCCGATCAGGCGCCTACCAGCCGATCAGCCGATCAGCCGATAAGGCTGATCGGCTGATCGGCTGATCGGCTGATCGGCTGGTAGGCGCCTGATCGGCTGATCGGCTGGGATCGAATAGCCCACCCGGACTGCCGTCACAATGGAATTAAGGCTTGAAAATGAGAGAATTAATTGGCGAAGGGCTCCACCAGTGTGAAGCCAGCAGCGGTCCGCAAAGCCGGGGCGAGCGCCCCGCAAAGCCGGGGCGCCAGGCGTCGGCCGCCGGCCGCGCCTCTTATGCACTGCTGCTGCTGCTGCTTTTGCTTCTCCTCTTGCTCTCCCCCCCCTTGCTGCTCTCCTCTCTCCTCCTTAGCCACGGGGCGACCTTCTCGCGCAAGTAACAAAAAAATTGTGAAGCCAGCAGCGGTCGCCCGACTGGGGCCTCGCCCTCTGCTCGTCGCTGCCCTGCGGGCAGGGCATCGCCCTGCCAGTTCGATTCGGCAACAGGCCAGCAGAAAGACCCATCCAGCTGAGGTTGCGCATTCAAAAACGTATGTCTCTGTATGTACATGTCCAGGCAACGACATCGATAACACGGGTCCCAGCGAGCCAAGCTTCACTGGTCAATGCTTCTCAAGACTCTTCAAGCCACAAGTGGTCAATGGTAGCTAAACAGAGTAAATGGAAATATATAGAGAGAGGGGAGATAGGAGGACGAAGAGGCGGGCGGAGCAAGAACAAGGGAGGACATACAATCTGTGCAGGACGATGCCGTGCGCGAGGGCAGCGCTTGCCGCTGGCCTCCCGATCGCACTGGGGACGCCAAAAAACTCCGACACAGATTTTCGTACCTGGACCTCTCGTGGGGTGCGCTCCTGGCCATCGCTCGGACGTCCATTACCTGTTTTTTTTCGGTGTCTTGTGTGGCTTTTTCGCCAAATGATCAAGGATGCTCCTCGATGGTCCTCGCCGAAGGAAAATAGACACGTCCGAGCGATGCCAAGGCTCTGGCGGAGGCCCAAAAAGGGGACAACGAAGGGCAGCGGCATGACGATTCTGCGAGCCCCGCTACCGCCAGACAGACCCACGCGAGTATCGGCCGGCCGCCTTCGCGCGCCTCGCGGCGGCGCGCCTTGCGCGGCTCCCGAATTGCCCCAGAGGCCCACTGGGCCTGGCTGGGCCGGGCGCCCCGCGGCTGCGCCCCCGGCGGCGTGCCGTGCGACTCCGCCAGGCTTGGCCAGAAGCCAAAGCTGACTGCCTGCTCCTCCTCCTCCTCCTCCTCCTCCTCCTCCTCCTCCCCCTCCGCCGTAGCCATTTTGGCTCGAGGGGCCTGCTCCTTCGCTTCCCAACCTCGCTCAAGCAGCATCAGGGTGCACGCGTGGCGCGCGCGCGCGCCCCATACTCCTGCCAGGCAGTTTGTCTGTGGCCCTCCTCCGCAGATTTTTTTGCCTGCCATGGCATCCGAAGGTCGTGCGCTCCACCAGTGCAGCAATCCGCGCTGCCAAGGATGGCTCTGGGCCAATCGTCGGGCCAAATTTTGCGGGGAGCGTGGTTGCAGCTGCAGTCGCGAGGCTAGTTTTGCCCAGCCCACTCCCGGTCGGCCCCGCCCGCCGACGACTGCTAAAGCTCAGCCCCCCTCCCTCGGGGATCTTCTGACCCGGGTCAATCCAGACCCGGGTCAGCAGGAAACCAAAAACTGCAATGCAGGAAAAAAAACTGCAACGCAGGTCTTCGCAAACCCGGGTCAGCCAATATGTGCGGCCGCCTCGCGGCCACGAGCGGCTCCCAAACCCGGGTCAGCCAGAGGGGGTCTTCGCAGGATCCTGCAGGCTCTGGCGCCCTGGCTGACCCCCGTTTGCATTGACCCCCGTCTCGAGGCTCCCGACTCCCCCAACGGACCAGGCCGCCGGGGCAGGCGTGCACTCAGTCGCCCTCCTCCCCCCAGCGTGGGTGGTGGAGATCGCCAGGCCCAAGAAGCAGCCTCAGGACCCCCCGGAGGAAGCGGCCATGGCGCCGCCGGCAGTCAGCAGCAGCAGCAGCAACAGCTGCAGCAGCCGCCCGACCCCGTCAGTTTTGCTCAGGAGCACCTCAGCTTCCTCAGACGGTCGGGCCTCGACCCAGAGCATCCTCTGGTCAAGACGGCCACCCAGGAGCTTCAGCAAGCAAAGCGCTCAGCATTGTCTTCTCGCAGTCTTCAGGACCAGCTCAAAAGCTTGGTCGACCAGCTGGATGCGCAGAAAAAGAAGTTACAGAACACCCGTTCTGCCAACAACACGCTGTTGGACAATATTGCTCAGCTCCTGGATCAGCACTCCAAGGGGGAACAAGAGATCCGAAGGTACGATGGAGAAGTCAAGGCCCTCAAGGCCCAGCTGGCAGTCACTCGGAATGCAGCTGTCGCAGAGCAGTCAGTTCATGCAGGGGTCCTCAGCTCTGTTAAATCTCACCTCCCCAGCCTCCCTGGCCATTAGCCCTCCCCCCAACTCCAGGGCCTCATGGAGGGGTTAGTCAGGGAACTTGAGCAGACCAGGCAGCTCCAGCAGAACGCGGCGACAGCAGCAGCAGCAGGAGGAGGGGCACCCGCGGCGGCGGCGGCAGCGCCGGACGTACCTCCTTCCGCGGTGGGTGCTGCGAACGTCCCTCCGCCAGGCGCGAGCGCAGCGGGAGCGGCAGTGGGAGCAGATGGGGAAGCAGAGGCTGGAGGAGGAGGAGGAGCAACAGCAGGAGCAGGAGCAGGAGGTGGCCCACCTCCACAGCAGCAGCTGCCGCAGCAGCCACGGCAGCCTCTTCCCCCGCAGCCTCAGCAGCAGCACCTTCCCCAGCAACAGCCTCCACAGCAACGGCAAGTCCCAGGCCAGGCAGGTGGCGGTTCACCTCCCGATAAACCTGGAGAGTTGGCAAATCTCATGGATCAGACTGACAGCCCAACGAGCGAAGCTTGGCGGCGCACCTCAGTGCTTTGGTCTCTAGCCTGGAGGCCAACCCAGATCCCGACCAGGAGACAGTCCTCAAGCGCCTCAAGACCCACCAGGAGGCACTCAACAATCCCAGGCAGGATGGGTAACATCCTCAGGGTGGCGACTTTAAACCGTAGTTGTTGGAGAGCCGTGAAAGATTTTGTCACTTCGCCTTTCTCGGCCTCGTCCAGCGTCGTTTTCGCTCAAGAAGTTCGCCTCTCCCGACCAGAGGCTATCAGCACGGCAACATCATGGGCCAGCTCAGTGGGCTGGCAGGCTGTTATCACACCGGCGACTGTGTCCGAATGCGGCAGGCCTTCAGGGGGCACGGCTGATTCGAGCCGGCTTCGATTACGGTGTTCAGTCTAGTATTGTTCCTCACCTCGACAGTCCTCATCGTTCGAGTGCAGTCGCCTTGGAAGCACCAGGGCTTGGTCAGGTTGCAGTGGTGTCTATTTACCTGTACTACTTCGAGGGGATGTCTCAGCAAAACGCCCAGCTGCTAGCAGCAGCGGGAGAACTGCAACAACGATGCCAGATGCCGCTACTAATTGGAGGTGATTTCAATATCACTCCCGCTACGTTGCTTCAGTCCGACTTTACGACCCGCGCCACGGTCAGAGTCCATAGCAGTAGGAAGCCCACTCACATCGCCAAGAAGAGTAGATCTGTCTTGATTATTCCCTCGTCTCTGAGTCGATGGACGAGCGAGTGCAAAGCATTGAAATACTGGATTTCCCTATGACCCCGCACCGAGTGGTGCAGCTGGAGTTGACCAGCGGTCAGTGCTTCGTTCCAGTATTGCAGCAGCCTCAGCAGATCCCCAAGTCACTCCCCTAAGCTCCCAGGCTTCCGGAGCTACCCCGGACACACGCAGCAGCAGCGATGAAGCAAGGGGGGGAGATCTTTTTCTTGGAGGACAGGTCGCCTTCAGCGCACAGTCCTTCGGTCAAGCAGACAGCCTTGGATACAGCCTATGAGGCCATGGTCCGGGACATGGAGAGGTCTTTGACCAGGACGCAGAAACGCAGCTCAGGCTTCCGTCGCTTCGAGGGCCCCCACCCAGGATCAAATGGCTATCAGCTACCACGGTCCAGAAACAGCACCAAAAATCCTGGGCTTGGGGTTCGCTGGCATAGCCGTTGATCTGGCTTCGAGGCAAAATTCAAGACGCTCGCGCACGGTTTTCGGAGCAATCCTGGGCTGGCCCGGGGGTTCACGAAAATGAGGTCCAGTGGGCCCTGGAGGTGCAAGACCCTCCCAAGCAGTTCAGCAGCTCAGGTAGTGTTCAGCAGATTCTCGACTCGTATCGCAACGTCCTCATGGCTGTCGGCATCGATGCGCAGGCTGACAACTTGAATCCTGATCTAGTTGATCGCATGCTGCCAGACTTCTTGGAGGAGCTGGAGGATAGCATGAGCGAGGAGGAGAGGCAGAGCATGGTGGACAGTACCAAGCAGTGGAGGGACTGGGTCGCCAATGCGATGCGAGGAGGGCCAGGTACAGCACACGCCTACGCCCCCTCCCCCGCCCCATGGCGGCCGCAGGCCGCCAAACACGGAGGGAGGTGGTCGGGGAGGCCCAGTCGCATGTTGCAGGCCGAAGCGGGTCGGCTGCAGGAGCTCTGGCGGTCCCAGTCACACGAGGGCCCGATGTTCGAGGGGGAGTCGACAAATAAAGTCCTCGACAGTTTAACGCCCCAGCAGGTCAAAACCGCAGCCCGCACTTTCCCCAAGCGCACCGGCATGACTTCACCATGATCAGTGACGAAGGCATGCAGATTGTGGCCTCTCTTTTCGCCCTGGTCGAATCGCTGGGTACAATTCCACCAGCCCTCTGGGCGTCGGTGGTTTAGGGAGTTTCCTCTTCCACCCCTCCTTCTTCCCCTTCGACGAGGGGTTTACCTCTCCCCCTGCCCCCTCCCCTGGACCTGGATAGGGGGTGTCGCGAGGTGTCGGAGCGTCCAAAACAGCCTAGGCGAGGATGCCAAAATCATTGGTTTTACGAAGGTTTTGGCCCCATTTTGGCCTCCTGAGAGGGGGACGCCAATTGGGCCCCCCCCTCCTGTGATCGATCTCATCCAAGATGGCCCCCAAGGCTCCCAAGGGTGCCCCAAGAGGGCCCCAAGAGGTGGCCAGGAAGCCCCAAGAGGCCCCCAGGATGCCCCCAAGAGGCTCCCGAGAGACCCCCGAGAGGCCCCAAGAGACCCCCCAGAGGCACCCAAGATGCTCCAAGAGGCCTCGGCGAGAATGCCAAATCATTGATTTCACTCAGGTTTTAGCCACATATTGGCGTCTGGGGGGGCACTGATTAAGATGACTCCAAGAGCGCCTGGGAGAGCCCAAAATGACCTCCAAGATGGCTCAAGATATCCCAAGATGTCTCATAATGGCTTCCTCTGCGTGCTGCCCACTTCCCTGATCGATGCAATTCATCTGGGCATCGTTTCTGGATGGGCTGGTGGGGATTCGCACAGTGTCAACAATTCCTTCGTCTCTCAGAGCTGTCCTGACTGTCCTCACCCCCAAACATAGGAGTGTTGGGGACAAGCCGCAGTACCGAGGAATCGGCATGTTCCTCAGCCCCTATAGACTGTGGGCCCTCGTCAGACAACGCGTGGCCAAAGAATGGGAAAAGGGCCATCGCTGGCCCTTCTTGCGTCACCAATCAGGTCGATCAATCTGTGAGTTAGTTTATCTCCAGGCACTGCAGGCAGAGCGAGGACAGCACGTCAAACCCGTGCTGCACACGGGCGCTGTCATGTGGGACTTGTCCAACTATTGCGAGCACGTGTCTCCAGATATTCTTTGTCAAGGCCAAGAAACACAGCTTCAACACACACATCTTGGCTGTGATTCTCAACTAGCACAAGTTCCAACGCCTGGTCTCGTATGCTACGCTTGTCGCTCACGCAGGGTATACCACAAGGGGACTGCCTGC